TCACAATATGATTCTTTCTTTCTTTGTAAAACCTTGCTACACCTTTTACAGCTATGTTATTACATTCTGTTGCACCAGAAGTAAATATAATTTCCTTCTTATCAGCGCCTATTAAATTTGCTATTTGCTATAAAAAACAAGAAATCAGATTAACACTATCCTAAATCGCACCTTACATTAACCAATACAACGAAATAAGATCACATGTGACACTAACACTACGAGCAGTTTCAACAGCTGCTTCTGTTTCCCATCCATACATATGAGTTCTGGAATGTGGATTTCCATAATTTGATGTAAAATAAGGCATCATTTTATCCAGTACTCGTGGATCCTATGTAAGAAGTACATGAGATTTAATTTTTAGCCTTAAAGAGCCACAACAATTTATTATGTTACATTTACCATTGGTGTAGTCGCTTGAACATCCAAATAAAGAGATCTACCTTCTACAGGTCCTCTTTTGTACTCGTCAGTAATAGCAGCTACAATGAAATAAATCGTTTATATATAAAAAACAATAAAGTATTATTAATTGCAATATATGACACAATGTGAAATACTTACATTCATATTCTGTGACTTCTGATAAATTTTGACAAGTAGTGTGCACTGCACGATATTCTTTGACGCGATTTAAAGTCGATAATATGTTTCTCGCCGGTCGAAACATGTTAAATCTTATGGAAACACAAGTTCATTTAACCTATACACAAACTTCAAAATTCGGCATATTCTAACCTAACTATTATAGTCTGCAATTTTGTTTTATACTTCTATTTAAATAATTTTGAAACTACCTACATAAACGCGAATTTGAACGTAATATTTATTTCGTTTCTCGTTAATTAGAAATTTATGATGCCTCTGACTGAGAATCGACGATCTAGGAACCACGAATATAATATAAAAAACTATGTACACTCTATGCTATTGAGGAAAATGATGCAACTCTTCGCATCCGCATTTACTTCTACCACACAAGTTGTATATATACATCTACATTTCTACAGATAAATAAAGATGGATATTAAAAAACATTTGTTTATTCAGTATAATAAATGTAAACATTATCAATTTGGAGTTTTCCAAAACTACAAAAAATAATATAATTCACGCTCAAATATCACGCGGTTAATAGACATAAAGTGTACAAATTACATTAAATACGTTCGTAAAGAGAATTAATTTTAGATGTAAAATATAAGATATAAACGTATAGAAATAATCACAATTGCAAAATACTGATTAACGTGGCGGGTCTACTGACGATCCTTAGATAAATTTAGCGAATCACCAACATCACTAGGTTGTGACTGTTGTTGCTTTTTATGCAATGTCGTCATGTCTAACATTCCACCAAAGTCGGGTTTAATGTTAGAGATTGTCAGATCTTCGGTTCCTTGATACTCGTTTGATCGATTTAACTTTATGTTATCATTTTGTACTTCTATTTTCTTTCGATCGGTCGAATAATCCTCGGGAGTTACAGAAAAGTTTCTACAAGACTCTGAAGATCCGGTATTTCCTTTGAAGGGCGACTGAATAGCATCGACCATCGCGAAATCGCTTGGTTTACGTTCATTTCCTTCGATGTCTCTCGCAGGAGAAATTTTGCCAATCGATCCAAACAAATTCGCAATATTACGCATGTAAGTGGACGGCGAAGGAGACGATGTCCTCGTGAAGTCTGCGATTGAAAAACCTGAAAGTTTCGCCAAATCCGTCGTAGAAAAATTTGCTAACTTTGATAAATCTGAAAACTTGGAGATTTGTTGCGTTATATCAGCTAAAGGGAAATCAGGTGTCGTAGACGAGCGAGTTTTATTAAGACTCGTATCTGTTCCAAGAGGATTAGGTAATTTTGAAAAATCGCTTGGTGGGAAATCATAGTCACATTTTGCATTTTTTACAGAGACTGTGAGTTCTCCAGATTGAAAGCTAGGTATCACATCTGAAGGTGAAATATGCTGTTTAGTTGTTGCAGAGTTACCATCCTTTATCTGTGTGATAGATGCAGTATCCGTGGCTATAATATTGTCCTTCTTAATAGTATCTCTAGAAGTAGACGGATGCATCACAAAAGGTTTTGATGTGGGTGTAATAATGGCACTATCAGGTTTAAAATTCACAGGAGTAAGGAAGACGGCTGCATTGTTGGGTGCAAGACCAACTCCTGGTGGAACAGAAGAAACTAATGATTCTGAAACTGGTACTAATGGAAATTTCATAGCAAGAAAATCAGGTGATGTTCCATCTTCAGAACCAGGGCAAATCATTTCCCTAATTACATCCCAATAAGAACCGTTTGACCTATTACGTCCAGGCAATTTGGACGCGAGAGAACACTGTTAACATAATATTATATTATTACATTATTAGTACGATTTGCACAATGTCTACATTACTTTATATATACCTACCCTTAAACGTTCAAGATAGGTTGTATTGTTGTTAAAATTGGCAGTAAAATCAATACCTCCTTCGCTTCTATAATATTCTATGCATCTTCTCTACAAAGAAAAAATATATACTACTTTATTTGGCAATCTATTATAAAATATTCATTAAATATGAGTGGATATTTACAATTTCTTCTAATGTATCTTGAGAAAGAAAGTGTTCTTGAGATAAGGTATAACTTAATAGCATTGGTCTTGGATATTCATGAGGTCGATTTTCAGGAGGAGGTAAAGACCAAAAAACATTAAAATTGGACTCATAGCAACTGCCATCCATGTTATAAGGAGCTAAAAATAATGGTATTGTTCTTTGATTTATCCAAATATTAATAACAGAATTGTATTTAATAGTTCGAATACAACATAAAAGACTTACAACATATTAATCCTACGCATGGTGTATATCCATTATCACTAGGACCCTTCATTTTAATTTGATAATCTAATTGAGAATCAACATCTCGGAGCGAAGGAGAAGCATGCGATGTAGGATGAGAATGATACCATCCAACTAAAGTGACACGCTTCCACTCCATAGCTCTTGCAATTTCAGCTTCAACTGCAGCTGCAGCTGATTTGTCTTTGCCTGAATATCGGCATGGAAAGGCTGTTGTTATAGATAGATCTACAATTTGGAGAGAAACAATTTTTGGTCAATAAAATTAATATTTGCTATCATTTACAATAAATTTAACAAAGATACTCACTATGTGAATTAATATCCCAGTGGCCACCTAGGTAGCCACAAACTTCTTTATCTGTTAAATGACAATGCAAATCTACCAATAAAGCTGCAGTAGTTGTTATTGTAACTAAAAAGGGTTGTATTTTTCCAAGTGTGCTAAAGGAAGTGAGTTCTACCATTGTACTCATATCCCTGAAACATAAATTATTCTCATTATGCTGTACAAAATATTTACTTTCTTCAGTCTTACATGGCATGACTTCTTATTCCAAGATTTGCATGTTTTACTGGTACTCGTACCACTTGCACTGGAAGACTAGTTTGAACTTTTTCAGGACTTTCCTCCATAGGTTCTGTGGTTGTCACCTCCATTTTATTTTGCTTTTATTAAATGAGAAGTATATTTTACTTTAAGTAAAATTTTAACTTTCAATTTAATTATATTTAATTATAAATTCATTATTTCTCACAAATGTATACTTTATACAAGACAATAAATATTTCTGAATATCAAACCATTATTGCTAATTGTCCATACACTACATTGCACAGTAATAATAAATAAAGATTAACTAAACAATAGAAGAATGATATATATACAGTATTGTAACCATCATGTCAAATACTACTTTTGAAAACCTAACCCTACTACCGATAGAGTGTTATTATTGATAAAAATAGCGTTACCCAGGGGGATGTAAATAAGTAAGTATATGTAAGTATATAAAAAAATGAAATCACGTTTCTGACGCCATCTACCAAATGTGCACAAGGATGGAACTGGTCATCAACAATTGATCGATACTCTTTGCAATTGATGACCAATCAACTTGCCCTCTCTCGACAGGCTAAAATGGGATGCCTAAATTGTTTGTAGAAAGTCAATGAACAATCGAATAAATGTGGGCAGTTTGGGACCATCTGGGACAACTACTCTAAAAACGCTTTAGGAAATGTTTATAAAGAAACCATGCTATGAATTGTTTTCAATCTTACAGTATGTTTTATTGAGCATATATACAAATAAATCCTCTCTGCACACCAATACTAGCGGTGCACGAAAGTGTTTCGGCAGTGGAAACGATTAAACTTTTACAGCATCAACCTGCAGATTTGTTTTGGAGGGGGGATATAGTTGAATTATTTTTAGAAACAAATACAGAATACAGAATTAGATTTGATTAATTTATTTTTGGATAGAAAGCAATATGAAATATGTCGATTCTATTAAAATTGAGATTATATATGCAGATTATCTTGTAAACATGGAATCAAAATATTATACAGCGAGAAAATTACAAAATTCGTAAAAATATATAGGTGTATATCTTTCGCACGTTAATCATAGTGCTACGACACGAAATGAATGAAATTACAATAACATTTCGCGTGAAGTTATGATCTACATGGTACAAATTACATACAAAATTAAATATATAGTTCTATACTATTCAGTAATGAGTACTGAACCATTACTAGAGTGTGGCACATTTTAAGATGTACTACATATTAATAACACTTATGAAAATTGGTACTCTGTGACATAACTATAAGATCACTAAAAATTATTTAAAAAATAAGGAAATGTATCGTAAAATAACATCTTTATAAATGTCCAAGAGCAACAATTTCACATAAAAGGTGCATCATTTTTAAAGTATCATATTATAACTAGTATCTGTGTTTTATGAGAATTAGGCAATTTAAGATAATCAGTAAAATATGTAACACAGCATGTCACAGAGTATATTTTCAAACTTATGTGTGTAAATAACTTCGAGAAATGCAAGTAGTACTTACAACGAGTCAAATTAAACAGTGATATTTGGCTTAAACTATTACTCTATACCGAATAGAAACTTCTTTGCATATCCAACAAATGTAGTATTCAAATGTTCTAAATATGATTTTTAAATAATTTGAAGTTTCTACATGTTTAGATGTATTCAAAAATGTACTAGGTTAGTAATTTGGATTTCAAATTGCGTATAAATTATTTAAAATAGTAAAAAGAATTAAAATTGATAAATTAAATATAGAAAATAATGCAAATACTGGTATTTTATAATTATAAATCATTCATGTATATAATTGTTTACCAAAACAATTTATATGCATCGATATCATCAAATAAATTTTATGCATTGACCAATCTTAGTTTGTCGCAATAATTTGAAAAATTATTGATATAATTTCTCTTTGTGCATTTTGACATTATTATCAATAGTAAGCTGACATTCATTATCCTTTTTTATTCATAAGATATTAATGACTCTTCATTTCAGTAAGAATATTCAGGAAAACTTTACCGACTATTCTTCAGCATAAATAGAATTTAAAAGTAAAATACTCGTTGCATAAAATTGTAATCATATTCGTTACTTGTATTGATTGACGGATTTTTGAATTATTATTGAAAGCATCATATGTGATAGGCATCAACTTTTTGTTATCTTTAGTATTGATGCAGTCAACTAATACGAAATGTAAACTTTACTTGTTGTTCTGGGGGCTATCATAAATTTGTAAAAATCAATTATTTGTACGTCTAGGAATTGGATATCGTAGTACTAAAACGCTGTCCGCTGATATAATTGGTAATACATTGTCGCAATGATGATTTACTAAATGACTTACGCTATCAAAAACGCGATCTTTTGTGCGTACCTGTAATTACAATAAATGATAAGTATTATGAATTCTTATTGAAAAGTAAACATATTGTATTGTCACAATTGATTTTTTACCAAATACTTACTACGCCCTCGGGATCGATAAGCAATAAATGTTTTGGTGTACCATTATTCATACCCGTAAGGACATATTGGCCAGGGGACCCTTGAGATTCTCTAACCAAAAAGTCACCATCCTATAAAAGTCATATAAATTATAGTACTTATATTACAAAGTATACAAATTTATATAATCTTATATATTTATCATCTTACTCTTGTCAACATAGATTCTGCTTCAGCACGACTAACGCTACCATGAAACCATATCTCTTGTTTTAATTGTTGTTTTTGAGAATGTGGACTTAATCTATTCATATCCGATATTGCAGAACTAAATGACTCTGAAAATGATATGGTATTATGCAAAAGACTTACATCTTAAATAATACTTATTAAATGAAAACATAATACAATATCGTAAATGTTAAAAGTTACTTACGCATGTCAAACACATCGAAAAGCGATGTTTGATCGCGATGGCTGTCTCTGCTTGCTGCTATAACACTATCGTTTACATAATTATGTTCTGGAGGTATATTGAAATTTGTAGAAGATGTTCCATCGGAATTTAAGTCAATTAAATTACCACTCTCTGTAATGTTAATAAAATTTATTTTTAGCATTAAGCGAGACTATAAATCACAACGTAATTATAATTGCTAATAATAACAAAATAACATAAAAAATAAATATTACCTGCCCATTGTTGATGATGCCTATCAGAATTAGAAGAGAATGAATCGTGTAAAATGGAATTTTGTGCGTTGCTTCGTGATATATGATTTTGCCCAGAATGATGATGCTTCAAATTGGGTAGGGTCGATGCAGTTGGCAAAGGTGGCACCGGTGGAGGGCCAATATCTGGCGGTACTTTACCAGGGAGGTCATTATAATAATCTCTATCTGCTTCTCGCATACCATTTAACATGGGACTGTAAAAAAGGAAAAAGATATACTAAGTAAAACACAAAACTCGCACTTATGTGATACAAAGTATGGATTGTAATTACTGCAACGAAGTTGGTTTGGTGAGGAATTCTTTAAATCGTAGTTCAAAAGCTTGTCCAATAGTAGATATAACATCTTGTGCCAATCCTCCTCCACATTCCAATACATAACACGCGCGCCACTCTTGCATATTTTTTGCAACATATGCAACAAAATCCAGTATTTCCTATTGATATATCGCAACTATTTTATACTTTAAAACTATATAAAATGCAAATAGAAAAAAATAATAATAGTACATCTTTACATAAAGTATAATTTACCGTATCTCCACCAGAAGCAAAAGATATATGTGGCATTTCATGTTTGGCAATGATGTGTCCATTTTCTATATTAGTCAAGGCTAAACTGCAACTGCTAATGGTCAAATTTATAGTAGCACCTGTATGCTCCATGCGTGGCTTGTCTGCTATTGCCCTAAGCACTTGTCTGTTCACCTAGGTAAACATATATTGCTTAAAATATATGGGACTACTAGTTTGACATGCTTTTTAAAAATAAAAATTAAAAAAATACCCGTCTCTTTTTATCTGCAGATTTTAATCCAGCTGCTTCGCAAACTCTGTTTATACATTCTCTGAAAAAATAATTTTTATGAGTTTGGTTTTTCTTCTTTCAAATGACATTGGATGTATTTAAAAATCCTTAAAATTTTTGAGTAAAATCAAATTACTTAAACAAACTTACTTGGCAACACATGATCTTGTTTCAAAATCTAAGCTTTTCATAGACGTATAAACTTCGAGGCATCCTATGTACTGAAATTTATAATAAAGAAAGTAAACTTTTATTTCCATTGAAATTCATGTTTCTATCACAGATTATTAAGTTTTACAATAAGAAATTAAAAACTTACCTTAACGGTATAAGTAATTCCTTCTTTGCTCACTAACTGATCAGGGTGTAACCATCCTCTGGCTGGTTTACTTATGAAACTACTACCTCCTGTTGCCATTTCTAAATTCTATGCACATATGTATAACTGTAACATTATTTTATAGAACTCTAACTGTAGTTTTGAAAGAGTTAAAAGCAGATGTTTTTTATTTTAGACAGTTTCACTTATGCCTGTCAAGTATGTTATAAATTGTATACGTACTTAGAAACAAAATTACGATATATTTTTAATTAAATTACACAGATCTATTAGTTCTGTTGAAATTCCTTTACAATTTATAGTCGTGTTGAAAAAAATTTGATAGCTGTCATTCGTTACATAACGTCGGCAACGTTATTTACTTCTAAAGTTCAGCAAAAAATGTTGTGACATTGACAAAGGTGGATGAACGATTAAAATATCTCATTATCTGTACAAAGACAATTTTTTATTATCGTATCTACGTATGATTTACCAGGAAATGAGATCACACCTCACAGACAATTACTAGGATCGTACGTCTACAATACAGATATACTTGCTGGATCTGTTGATCATTTCAGAGGAATCCTTTGATCACTTCGAACAGAGTCACACCACGTTAAATGTGCATTTTGTATTTTCAGTCACACCACGAATACGAAAATATTCGGTGTTTTACAGAATTCCATGAAAATGATAAAGACCAAACGGGAACTATCGATAATGTAATTGCGTTCCCTTTCTCACCGACTGTAACAACCAACCATTTTTCTTTAGTTGTTGAATTATTACGTTGGTGCACATGAGATTTTTTTTCTAAAAACACGAATTTCAATCATGCGGGTCGATTCTGTAATTCAAGTGAGCTCACTCACTTCTGGCATTTTCATCTGAGCACATCTGAGTCACGAAATAATATTAGGTTAGGTTACTTGGTTGATAAATGGCGACGACCAATCAGAATCGGACTATTTATTTCGTGATTGACTAGAGGGTCTCTATATAAAATTCATAGACGTATACGTCTATGGTAAAATTATTTTGTGGCTCTATCTACAGTTAAAGACTAAACTTTATGTTGGTGGCAATATACCACAGGAAACGAGACGGTGACCGCGAAATGTGAAATGTATTTATTTATAAGTGAACAAGAACACCGTGAAAACCTTATTTTACGTGTGTTCCGATTTTTAAGATAACGATGAGCTGGGAAATCAGCTGTGCCGATATGTGTCGTGCGTGCATGAAGGTCGACGGCGTTCTTCTTCCTATGTACGATGACGACACTATCAGTCAAAAAAATTTACCCGATAAGCTTGCCGAACTTACATCAATACAGGTCAGGAACAACGCGTTATTTATATTTTACACTTATATTTCCTCCTTGAAGTAAATGATCGCTTACGACCTATAATTATGTGACTGTTTTGAACATAACCTCTAAATGTTATCTGTACGGAATTCGTTTATTAGATATAATTATTATATGTTTCATTACTCTAAAATTATATGTAAGGATAATGTTTAAATTAATTACTATAATTCACTTTTATACATGTAGCACATGTTCTACTTAGGTGTACGTTGTACTGTTTTCAAGTTGTCAATTAAGTAAGAAAATAATTAAAGAACACATATCTAGAGACAATTTAAAGTAATGAAACAAATAAATACAATAGTTTTTTATGAGCATATTCCTTTCAAAGGAATATTTACTATTTTATAGTATTTTTGAGATAAGTATGTAACCTTAAAATAAAATGAAAGCTAATTTGGAAAATTCTAATTGTTGGAATAATTGTCAGAAATGAATAATCCAGAATTAAATAAATTTTAAACAAAGTTTGTCTTACTATTTAATATTACATAATTGATATGTTATATAGTTAAATCATTTCTCCATTTCGTTTTAAATGATTTGATTTCTTTTTTTCCATAGATTGACAGATTCGATGGTTTACCAAATATGCTTTGTGCAAAATGTGCGTATCGTACAGATGCATTTTATGACTTTAAGCTGCAAGTTCAAGCTACTGAAAAAAAACTTCGTAAGATGTTTGAAACTCAAATGCGTTGGACCATCAAGGTAACATGTAACTATACACTTTTATTACATTATAGTTTTTACAATTACATAATTGTCATTAATTTTATTTGATAATGTTCAATTCAATTTTAATTCTCTTTACTCCTGTAATTTTTTAGTATACCTTTCTCCTCCTTTTCTTTATTTTTTCTCATGTCAAATAATTGTCTTGCTATGAATTATCATCATAATAAATTACTTCTTTAATGTTTTAAATCCTTGCAATGGGATAATGTGCTATAAATATTAAAAAACTTTTGAGCCAGAGTTGTAAATGAATTAAAAAACCACATACTTTAAAATCTCTTAGGTACATATTTTACACTTCTGTTTACCTTAGTAACTTAGTAACAATTGATACGAAGTTTAATGATTGCCTACTTCAGATACTCAAGAAAGATTATTTTCATTATGGCTACTTTGTATTAACTTTCAGGAAGAGGTAATGGGTAATGATGTAGAGCAAATCTATATGGAACAGTCAAACGAGTTGTCAGAGGTAAAACTGTTAAATGACAAACAGAATTTAAAGTCTATGAATGGTGTAGATAGTTCAGAAGAATTTTTACCTGAAGAAAGTAGTATAACGGTTAAAGGAGAACATGTATTAGAAATTGATGTATCTGAACTAGTGGAAGGAAATTCTGAATTTAATAAGGATGATATATCTGATCTGGGAGGTATTTTCATTTCAAAACTTCCAAGGGAAGAAGTTGATCAGAACAAACGGATAAAGGATGAAATACCCAATGAAATTTCAAAAATCTTGGAGTCCGAACACTTAGATTATACGATAATGTATATACCAGAAGAAAATGTTTCCTTGGAGCACGTGAATGTTGATAATGTGCTTTCTAGCGAAACAGAGGCTGCCATTAAACTAGAAAATAATAAAAAAATCTTTGAAGTTAATTGTGAGGACGAAGTTTTGAATGAATTAGTGGACAATGAAGAATTCACAAGTACTGACTACATTGAAAAAACTGACGATACAGAAGTCATCAAAGTATGTAATGACAAAAGGTCATGGAAGAAAAGGGAAAAAGTAAATGGAAGAAACAAATCAAAGGTATCACTGAAATCGAACCAACAAGAGGAAGGCAGCGACGATTCTGATTCTGATTATTTTGTTGATCCGAAAGACAATATACTGGGCAGTTTGAACGATACAATAACAAGAATAAAGGAGATCAAACTCGAAGATAACACGATCCAGTACCAGTGTACGTTGTGCTTGCAAAACTACGACAAGTTAACTGGTGTCTTATTACACACTATAGATAATCATGTACCAAGCAGCGGACCATTTTTTTGCGTCGTATGCGAGAAAGATTGCGAAAGTCACAGAGAATTACGGGCACACGTGAAGACGCATACGGGCCAATTTCCGTATTCTTGTTTCATATGTAATAAAGCTTACACTATGAAAAGATATTTAAAGAGGCACATGGTGTGCCATACAGATTTTCCGAGACACCGGTGTCCGAAATGTGGACTCAGATTCAAAGTTAAATCCGAACTGGAATCTCATATAACGACACACATACGCGGCGCGCCTTATGCTTGCAGTCAGTGTCCACGATTGTTTAATCACAAAGGTAATTACAAACGACATTTAATTACCCACTTGGATCCGCAAGGTCTTCATCTACCCAAATATCCCTGCAAAGTTTGTGGAAAGAGATTTCCGAATAATCGTACCTTAGAAACACATATGCGTGTTCATACTGGCGAGAAACCGTTCAAATGCGAAGTTTGTGGAAGATCGTTTTCGCAACAAGGCAATTTATTGAATCACGTGAGGATCCATTCGAATCCACGAAGTTACACGTGTGAAGTATGTGGGAAACGATTCAATCAAAGGGCAACTTTAAGAGATCATAGTCTTTTGCACACGGGAGAAAAGCCGTATATTTGTAACGTTTGTGGAATATCATTTACATTCAGTGCTGCTTTAAGACGTCACATGTGGACGCACACTGGTGGGAAACCGTTTGGGTGTGAAATTTGTAATGCTCGTTTCGTTGGAAAATACGATTTAAGAAGACATATGACGATACATACCGATAGGCCTAGGGTAAAGCGAAGGAAAAATCCGAACAAGTCGAACGATGCACAAGAGAAAATTAAAGAAGAAAACCTTGCTATTCCTGAGCATCCTGACACAGAGACCGTTTTAATCGAAGAGGTTCTCTTAACTCAAGATGTTACACAAGTTGTTCGACAACAAGAGTCTGAGAAAGAAAATGTTGATGCGCTTTTTAATTTAATACAGTATGGTTAAGGATATTTGTCCTTTTGCACTTCATCTCATGCACATCACCACCGACTTGACGTTCTCATCAATTTTTGAATAAATGAATAATGAATTTGTTTATAGAGTTAGCATTGAAATTACAAAATGCGTGATTACCTAAAATATGTCAATAGTAAGAATAAATTAATTTATTTTCAACAATATTATATAAATTTTTCCAAGTCAGTGTATGTAAAATATTAGAAATCATTTGTCAGTCATTTGTTAACGAGGAATATTTAATAACTTTTATAAAATTTCATAAACTTCTAAAATGGTCAGAAATAAAAGGCACGTATTGTGTTTTTCAATTCAAAGTATTTTCTTGAACATATAATTGGAGCAAGAATGTTAAGTAATTTTCGTGTAAAAATATTTGTACACTTTTAAAATGTGAAATAGTTATTATCGTATTTAATTTTTCTCGAGTTATTAGAAATTTTATAGTCGTTTTTCACAACAACGAACGTTTCGATACAATGTATATTAATAAAATAAGTATAATCACATTTATGATAAAATGAAAAATTGTTAATATACATATGTACAATAAAATTCTAGTGTATATACTTATAACAAAAAAGTTAATTTAAATATGCGTGCGTGTCTTTTATTTTTAATTTGGATTAATACGAAGAAGTTTTATGAAATTTATAGAGAAAGAAAGATTTTATAGATATTTTTTTAGTAAAATAAAATCCATTATGATAGCCCATTCTAATTTCAATCTTTGCTTTTCATGATTCTTTCATTACGCACGTAATTGAAATATGTATTACTTGCTCGATAACGTCTTTAAACTCATGATTGCTCAAATATGTCGATAATTAATATTTTGGTTTTTCTTTATCACAATACTGAGAAGAAAACATTTTTCGTACATAAATTAATAATAATTTTGTTGTAACTCCTCAAAGAACAATTGAAAACAATTATTCAAGGCATAATAAGAATAAAGACGTTTAAAAAATTATCGATAATCAAGTAGATATAGGTATGCAAATATTAAATGTAAAACAATAGTAAAGATTATTTATATGATGTAATATTACTTAATAATCTTATATACATGTAATATAAAGTACAGAAATTATTATATTAAAGTACACTTCAATTCATTGAACCAGGCACATTTAATTTGACACGTTTATTAATTGGATAACTCTTTTTTATTGAGAAATCATAATAAAGGTAATTAACGTAAGTTAATTATATTAAATAATTTATTTAAAACAAAATTTTGAATTATTTCCTTTTTTCTATGAGTTCAATGTTTTCTTCGGGAGATAATATTTTTACAAACTTATTGATAGTCATAGATTTAGAGAAATCTATGACTATCAATAAAGACTCGAAGAAATAGTACAATTATTTAAATAATTTATCATTAGTTTTAATCAAATTCGAGGATTATGTCCTGGAATGTCATTATTAGTGTACGTCAGTGGTATTGAATCCTTCATCATCGCTGAAATTTTCACAATTGTGCTGGTGGTACTCACCGATATATTAGGTACGTATGCGACATTTTCAAGCGCCACCTACCAGTACAAGCTAATTAATTAGCCTCTCTGGCACGAACGGGAAGAAGTAATTCGAAATTATCCTGATCTGTTTTACCAATCACTTTTGCAGCCTGAATATATTATCAAGATATAATATAATTGCAGCGTTTTAACAATATTAATCTAGCATAGAATTATTTAATAAGATATATATTTAATATACATTTTACTTTGTCATTACATATATAAAGTACGCTAATAATAAAATTTGATTAAATTTTTAATAACAAATTCCGTATTAATATAATTAATTTTGTCATATGATCATGATTCCCTGAAATGAAGCTCATGTCCTGATGTCTCTTAAAATTGCCTTTTGTTAAATAATTTTAGATACAATTCTATGTTTAATGTACATATATTCTATACATATATATACGTATATTCTTTTCGTTGATATTTTTCATGTATGTGAAATGTAAATACAAGAAGGACGCTTCGCGATAGGTCGATTCCTGCGTCAAAGTAAAATGATTTATATCTTTTCTTGCTTAAAAAATTTACTTTTACAAGGGAATCACCTAATAGCAAATCAACATGTATCTTAGAATTTGTAAATAATTTATATTATCGCAAAGTCTGGTTAATAATATTTTTTGGTAAATAACTTAATTTTGATTAAACTTGTTCCTTTTTATAATTAAATTTTTCAATATTAATACACGACCAATTTTCTCTTTTGAATTTTTATATAGTAAAACTCGAGTCACTTTTATTAAAACTAAAATGATATTTAATGAAACCATGCTGGCACATTTAAATTCTACTAATCGTTGTTTCTAGTTGAGGATTTTCAGATTTAACCCTTCCGTGTTCGTTGCCTGAACTCATTCACGTGCCCAGGTGTTACTTGGATGAGCAAAGGCAATGGGCACGATGACTTAGTTTGTAAAAATAATAATAATCTGTGTGGCGACTGACTCTGCGCTAGTGAATCTTGCACGACGTACTTTCCACGTGTATGTGTGTTGTTAGGCTGTGGAATTGCGTCGCTTGAAAAAATTCATTACAATATGCTAATCTACGTTTACCCATTGCAATAACATAAAACTTTTATTTATTATGAATTATCTGCGACGATTGTCCGCATTATCATTTACATACTCCTTTGCTAGGATAATAATCTTTGGAAATGATAATGTAAAGTAGATTCTCAATTTTATATATAGTAGTAATCTATATAGAATTATCAATAATTATATCATCTTATAGTAGCACATAAAAATATTTATATACATATACACGTACAAACGCAATGGCCACTAGCCTTTGTCAGTCGATTTCAGGAAACTGGTACGTACCTTTAGAATGTGAATCTTGTGTATAGTACACTCGGGTGTCGGAGGTGTCCCGGGACATCTCCCTAGTTTAGGTCGCGCCCGAGAGCATTGATTGAGGATCGTTGAGCGTGTGTGTTGGTGTGATTGTTTTGCCATTTTTTAAATATAGCGTTAGGTAGGTAGGTAGCTTACCTTCTCGTCACTTTAGTTTGGGTAGGTCGCGCGCGTACATGATGGGTTTGCACCTGTAAGTGGATTTAAGGATGGTTGCGACGACGATGCAAACGGAGCTTCTGTCCGTTTGTTTCGGAATCTGCTCTCGATTCTTCAGGTCTCGACTCTCTGAGTGGTTGCTTCGCAGTCGCGGTCGTGATCAGTAAGGTTCTTCGAAACGCTCGTTCCCTCGAGGTTCTAGACATGTGGTTCACCGGGTTCAACGTCCACGTATTCCACTGAACCTCGACCCTAACTATAAGTTTCAGATGGGACAATGCGTCCGAAAAAGAAGAGAGGCCCTGACAAATTGTCGAATTTGAAAATAGAGAGTCATTTCTACTACTAGTAGTGATTAAAATTTTTTGCGTTTTCTTCCAGGGTAGAGTCGTAAATAAAGACCAACCGCGAGTACGGTTAGTGTTGCGTATAATGAATATTGCTCGCGTCCGATTATAAGTAAACTATCGCGTTTTGAATTAGTATTGCGACATAGAAAAAAGCCCGAAATTTGACACCAAGCAGCTGAAGTAGCTGCGCATGCTGTGATTCCACGCAGCCCGAGATGGTTCCACTAGTTTATTAGTTAGAGTAACAAATTGATTATCGAAGCTTTCAGGTGTAAGCCGTGGCCTTTGGGTTAACATGCATCGACGTTTTGCCGGCATTGCAGTTTCTTCAGAAACGATACATTCCAACGATCGGTAAGGCAGTTTCAATATTCTCGCAATAGAGGGAGTCACTCTGCGAATTATCTGACTGAAAAGTTTCTTTCAGCTGAAATGCTATCTTACTAACTGTTCGCTTAGTTTTCACTTACGTTAACGTATATTTATTATTAATAATTTCTGTTACAATTACATTAGTGATATGATAAACATGCATTTGACTGTTTTCTATCTTACAAAATTCTAAACTATCCGTTCTATTAGGATCGTTTAAAAAAAAAGAAAAGTTTTATTCATAAGAATGTTTTCCATGAAAATACCACGATAGTCAATATTTGATTAGTTAAAAAGTTGAATTTCGGTAAATATTCTATTGTTGAAATCCTTCGTAGCTTATCAAATAATATGTATAGTGGATAAAGAAATTGGGTTAAGTTATATTTTCGAATTAAATTTTTAAACTGTCGTTAAATTTAATCTAGATGATTATATGAGAAAATTCTATAATTCTATAAATTTCACTAAATATCAATAAATATGTTAATATCTAGAACTCGATGATTCTGTATCTTTGGAATGTTAAGAAAAGAAGGACGATTAACAATTCTGGAATTATTTATCGTTTAAATTTCCTTATCGTATATTTCTTTGCTCCTTTTTTACATGTTATTCAAACGGAAAATATCAAGATACAAATGTTTGAATTCGAGATGGACTAGCTTTCAAATATAATACTTTCGGTACATCTTTCGTATTCAGAAAAATGGAATGTTATCAAATATTTGTATATTTGTATAGATACTAACAATTGGGCGTTAAACGAGTATAGAACACTATTATAATTTTGCTTTCCTCAATTACAAATATAATCGTATGAATTACTTCCGTAATTTTTAAAACATTCCTTTGTATTAAATTACTACTTACACGTTTACATATCACTTGTAATTAAAATATCGACGACAGATGAAGACTCGAGATTTGAATAAAAGACACTTTTTGAGAAAAGAATGTTAATTAAAAATGGTTAAAACGAAGCAAAAGAAATACGATTTTAAATATACGTTATCTTTATTTCAACTAAAGTCACTCAAGTTACATAGTTGAGCGATTAAAAAAACAATCGAAAATTGTTATTAGCGATAACACGTAGATATATTCACTTGTTCACAGAGGTTTGGAAGTTGGGTCTCAAGAAGGTCTCAATCAGAGAGAGTTTGATCTAGAGATCGCAACATGAGATTCGAGATGCTGCTGGTTACGTTGTCGACGCACGATTAAACCTCGTTGCGCTGTGATAATGTGTGCGCATCGAGCGTGTGCGCATGGCGCGCGTGCGCGATGCCATAGTGCCGCTACAGTGGCGCCAGTAATGGCGGCGGAAAACACGCGCGCACGCGAGCACCGCCGCCGGTTTGTTTCTCCACGCCTCTACCTCGCCTCCGCCACCGCCACCGCCACCGCCACCGTTCTCACGACTCGTGGGTAAGTATCCTCACACTCCAATCAGTCTGCACTCGCATGTCCACGAGGTTGCTCGCACTGGCCTGGCGCATTCCTCTCGCACTCACCCCTCGCTTGCACCTGGCTCACCACGTTTAGTGCATTACCAGACAGCCGTACCCGAGTGAACCGAGCCACCAGTTGAGGTAGTTGTCGGGAATTGTCAGTCGTCGAGAGGTTAGGTCAGAGTGGCCTGTTGTGGCGGGATTACGTGACTCGTTTGAATTTGAATTCGCCGCGCCGCGCCGCATCGTCCCGTTAATTGTCGTGTGCCGGCTTTTTAACGCGTTTCGGCACGATCAACGGACCCCGAACGTAACGTTCCAACGACTGTCAAAACAAGTTTACAGTTTGTTGACAATTGACGCGGCTACATCGGGCCGCGTGACGCGTGACAATCGTGTGCGTTGAGGTTAGGTCTATTCGTTGCCTAACGCGCTCTTTTTGAATGGATTGCTCGTTACGTTCGTTCGTAATCGATTTCTGCGGATATTAGTGCAAACTGCTGGTGATAAGGACACGTTTCCTAAGAGACGGATAAAGACCATGAGATCCGTGGAAATAGAGTGAATGTTTTCGGACGGTCGTATTTCGTGCAGTGACTTCTTCGGTGTTCAACAAAATGTACGCGTGATGGTGATTAGTATACTCATTAATACGTAATGTACATATTGACATACTCTTTCGACTCGCACACATGTGTAATCATAAGCGCGAAAACAATTTTTTGTTTTTATTGATCATCGAGACTCGACGTTAGCCTGTTGCGTCGTTGCGTTGCGTGTGTTCGATATTCGAATATATCTCTTACATTGGTGTTCAAAAGTGCTCGAAAATTTCTCTAAATAAGGTCACTTTATGATGTGCGTAATAGAATAATGATCGATGAAATTCTTTCTTAATAATCAAACGTTCCACTAAAATATTCGAGTGTTCCTGTAACTTTCTAATCTTAGATTAAATTTAAAATTAAATTTTCTATAAAGCCTATCGAATAAAGTGCGAAGTATTCCTAATATCTTTGAAGAGAAATAATTTGAATTTAGTGGAACGAATCGTTACGCGACAATTGTACAGATAAGTGCATACGTGACAGTTGTAACAGTATTGTTTCATCATTATCAAACGCATGATTCTATATCAAAGATAGTAATTTATCAATATATTGCATTTATTATGCATCAAGTATACTAAATTAATTAGCGAAATAATGTTCGGTTTTGAAATGAAAGGTCAGATAAGAGTGGAAAGACTTCAGAGAAGCTCTATGGAGGAGTTATATTCGATTATAGAAATTTAACGAAATTTCGGTTTATCGATTGCCTATATAAAAACTGATTAGTTTATCGAGTAACGTAATTAAGAATTTAACGATGAAACTTTCAAATTTTTGACGATAAGAATATTACTTAACAATGAAAATTAAATTAGTCGCTGCCTGTTTGAAAACGAATTCGCGATTACAGAGCTTGACATTTTTCTCAAATTTTAATTTATATTTATACGGCAAAATTCATCTCCGTGTAATAAATTCTCTCGATGAAATGCACAGTCGGCTACGAACTGTCAATCGCCGTGTTAAACAAATTGATCCGAACACCCGGCGGAGCGTCGCAACACGCGTTTTATAATTTCACGTCTTCCTTTTGACGCGTCTCGTTTCATACTTTCTTACATTCTTTAATTTATTCGATACGAGAGAAAGAGAAGCTGATACAACCGCGATCGATGCAGTTGCTCACGGATCAAATTCGATAGCTCTCGTTGAAACACAAGAAGGAACAGAAATCGAAGTCATTTGTTGGTCGAGTCATCGTCGACTATATCATACTTGAATTGTCCTTAAGGGGTTATTCTAGTGTGACACAAGATTTTTTACCTTAAACGTGGGATTTATTCGAACAAAAACCGTAACACTTGATGCAACAAAATTTGGAAGATGTATTTATTCATATTTCAACTACACAATTTTTTTCGTCGTAGAAAGGATCAAATTTACGGTACAGCAAGCAGACGTCAATAATTAATTTTAATCAAATTGTTTCATAGCGTTCATGATTGAGACTGATCCTACTATCCGAAACTAAAAACACAAATTGTTTCTTAATTAGCATGAGTTTGGCTACAGTCGGATTTAGGATAATTAAAAAAGAGTAATAAATAAGAGAGTGACGGCACTCTGAAGTTTGATTATCGTTTCTTTCATGTTTTTTGACCATTTGCATGATTTTATCGCATCGTTTTGTGATTGGTCGAACACAGCGTGATGCATCTTGGCCGACATCAAAAATTTTGATAGAGCATCTTGGCCGTAAAGACCTCAAATTTGTTCACAAGCCTGCGTAGCATTCTCGCCTTGATCGAGCGACAAAACGCCACGAACTTTTTCGAATACCCATTAAAAGACTCAAAACTTTGACGATGTCTCAAGTCGGACTATAGCCCTAAACACATTGAATATGCACGTAAAATCTTCAATCGATTGATGAAGTAATTTTCAAGATATCATGTGCACCGTTTTAGGAAACGTAGTTTTGAGAAAAAGTAAGAATCAGTATACATCTAATGAAAAGCATATTTACGTCTAATCTGTCAAACCAGGCCCATAAAGGGACCTTCTTTTTGTTCGAAAAGGTCCTACTGGGTACATTTTTCCGTTCTATGTTAAATAACAACGAACTGAAGTGAAATAACGCGTGAAACGATGAAATAATTAGTGAAAAGATACCGCGAACTTTAGTATTTTCTTAAAAATTTGCCAATTTTACGAAGAAGATTCAAACTCAGGTTTCAAACGGTGCATTAAACAATTTTGTTCACAAATTTACTGTGTTCCTTATAACTGAAAGAAGGAATAAAACATCTTCAATTATACACCGTTGACCAACGAACGAATCGTTCGTTCCGATAATTTTAGTTGGAATTAGAAAACGATGCTTGACTCACAGATGCGGACGATAGTGTGTGCATTTCTGTTCTACTCGGAAGCCAATTCGAGATATTTGATTCGATGACAACAATACGTGGAGTGTCGTTCGTCGTTTGTATTTTAATAACGCTCTTCGGCTTACACGGATGAATTTTCAATCATCCTCGCGAGGCATCGATCGGTTCGTTACCAATGTAGCCAGTTTTTCGGTGATTTGCGTCGCGTCAGATTCGGGGAAGTTTCGATTTTTTCGACAGGTTTAACACGGCGAATCAATACGCGCGTGAGATCCATGGAAGATCGTGGAATGGAACACGTCGATATCTGTTCTAGATGGATAATTCTGCGTACGTGCCGAATCATCTACCGCCGCCGTCTCTGGTTGTGTTTTCACAGTCTGGAGGGCTGCCGGAAGCTCTGAGAATGCAAAGACCCTTCAATCCACAAGTTAGTGTCCTATTATCCTTACCTATACGCTTAAGCTTGTGTTCGCTTGTACTCCTTTATGTTTGCTGATGCTGAGCATGGTGAAAATAATATTTAGAACAGGACACAGCGATGCGACGATTCATGCCATCTCGTTTCTTATCGACGGTTCACGGTGGGTCAGAATTCGTTCGCGACACGACGAAACTGATTAATTTGTATCTCGGTTGATTCAGGCGGGCTGTTAAGCTGCAATGTTTCGGATTTAGTAAATCTAAAACACAGTTGGTATACAAACATATGAATCAGGGATATGATAAAGTATTGGAAAGAGGCTAATACATCGATAAATAGAATTGTTAATGTAATTGTTTGATATATTTGTAGTCTCATCTTTTTCATCGAAGTTTGCTCGAAAAGTGAAGCGGTAGTAACAAAACGAATTGAAATCAAATTATATGTATCGATGAATATGTCTGTTATATGTTCCTGTCTTAAATATTATTCTCGTCTGTTGCGTCCATGCGACGCAACTACTGAAAGATTTATTGTAGACTGTAGCGCACGCTGCATATCTTGAAATTGACACTTTTCAAGTTAGCGAGTAAGTTACTTGCAAAGATCAAACATTTATATCGACGATGCGACGTATAAACTGCGTTACGTGATATTATATCGATTAGAGCTATGTTTATTGTCTATTTCTCTTACAATCAAAGATTCAAACTCTTTGGCAATTGAAATATTTGAATATTATTCGAACATAGTATGAATATTTTGTCCATTGATCCCAGGATATTCGTAGTATTTGAATAGTGTAATATAAGCTATAAATTAAAATTGTCAAGATAACCGCATTTTTGTACATATTTTTATATAACATTTCTATTTTGATAAGGAATAAATAATAGCTTGGGATAAGTTCCATAAAACAGCAACAAATACCGAACGAAAAGTTTCATGAATTTTTCGAAAACTATTGCTATTATGTTTCTCGATCGTAGTCGGCTTCTTTTTGCAATGGATATGCCTACACTTTTAGAAAAGTCTTTTCTAACGTCATGTTACTTTTAACCTAAAAATGGTTGGAATATTTGGTAAGTATTTCGCTCATTTAGTCATGGAAGGAAACTTATTTCCGTTCGTTTCGATCATTGTAGGGAACTCGCGCGGTGTATAATCGTGAATAATTAAAGAGTCGACCAATCTTTGCGACTCGAAAAATGTCAATTTTAATGAGTATCAGTTGCAGGTGCAATTGCTTCGGCCGCTTGTTGCTTTATGCTCACCAGTGGTAATTAATGCACGTTCTGAATGACGACTTTGTCGAACTTGTGCAAACGTGTCTGTATGGCATATATAAATCGTAGCGATTAAACTGTAGCGAACACATATTTATTATTTTACAATAGCAATCTTTGGGAAGTAAAGTAAGTACCACGTGTATGTTATTACGTTAACTTGAACGAATTCTAATCGTCATTTTATTTGAGGTAAATTTCTGTGGACTTTAGAGAGCACGATACATTAATTATGAATTTTACCAACGAATTTCGGTTCCACTTGGAATCCTCGTCAGAAATTGTACGATGAAATCTTTTTTTCTCTGCTTCTCATCGTGCAATTGCTGTTGAGAGTAGAAACGTTGAATCGTCAATAAATGTCTCTTGCTCTGCAAAGTTAAATAAAATTCGTAATAGCGCAGTCAACGTTATATTAATTTTATACAAAATATTTCTACATTTCTCCTGTTTGATGGAATTATAGACACTAGTGCTGAACTATGTTGATTGTTTCTACTTGGTAGGTACAAAGAAGTTAGGAAAATATTTACTGAATCTTTTAGAGCAGAAATTAATCATTCGAGGAGGAACATGATAGTAATAAAGTTATGAGTAGTTTCAACTGCTTTTTTTATGAAAGTGGCAACAAGATATTTCGGATCGTGTAGGTTTGAACAGAATGATAGGGTAGAGGTCGTGAAATACTTTGCTGGTCTGACGAATATTTAAAATTGAACGGGATTTTAGACGTAATTTTATTCATTTCGTTTTACTGTCACGCGTTTGTTTTTTTATGCTGTTCTGATAAAATACGCATTGTCCGAGTGACAATTAATGTATTAAAAGCATATCAGTACATTTTATTATGACAACTAATAGCAATCCGTGTAAAATGAAAGTAATCCTCGAAAAAGAGGATATAGATGTTTGTCTCGAACTATTCGTAATAACGTTCATGTTCGTACCGATTAAAAATGAAATGTATTTTCTAAGAACAAAATCCATTCGTTAAGACCCAAACCCGAAAAGTAAAACTGAATAATATAATTTTGATGTTGCTAAAAACTAAGAGAATTTCGTTGGGTTACGACAAAATCTGCACGCGTTTTTGTGCGATGCGCACTTGCAAGCTAGAAGGAGAGGACTCGAAAATATTGTAAATATGTATAAGCACGGTCATCGATCTGCCCATGGGCCGTCGGCGCCAAAAAATGCCATACTCGTGGCAATCGGTTGTAATTAAGATAATAATGAATACCTAATAAATCACTGATTGAACGGAGGAACAAATACGATGGCTGGGAAACGAGAACCTCATTTCCTCGTATAAAAGTATAATAAACTAATCGCGCCCCACTAATTCCCGTATAACTCATTGGCTACGTCATTATCGATTCCATGAAATGTTTATTTGGAAATTCGGGAACCCTTCGGTGTAGCATTTCTGGCTCGATTTTTTCCGTATTCCACCCAAAACTGCGATACAACGAATGTATAAAAAACACTGTTACCTTCGGTACAGTTACGGTACGGGAGTACCTTAAAATGTCGATCGCCATGTCGTTCATAAATGAGATTACAATAAGACCGATTACAACATTTTCGAAAGCCAAACATATCTAAAAATAGTCTAAAATGTTTGAAACTAATACGAAAAACACAGAGAAAAAGATAAAGATTAATCAAATGCAGTATTTGGGTGTGAAATTAATGCACACAATAAAAAAGTAAATTATTTTTTTTTATGTTAGAAGCTACATTTTTCATTTAATAATATATCGACGCGGTATTTTTATACCCGGAATTTTGACCGTTACAAACTTTCATAAAAATCGTTGTTGTAAACTATGCGTTCTGGAACAGTTATTTCGGCATTATAATTGGAAAAAATTCATCAAATAAATAAATGGTCATATGTCACGATACCAGGAACGTAAAAAAGGTTAATTATTTTTTTTACAATTTTGTTAGAAGTTATATTTGTTACTTAAAAGTATACCGGATTGGGATTTTTGTACGCGACAATTTCGACTGTTGCGAACTTTTATAAAAATTGTTCTTCTGATATGTGTATGTTCTGGAACAGTTATTTCACAATTATAATCGAAAAACATTCATCGAATAAATAAGAGGTGTCGTATCGTGTCTGTAGTATAAGTTTACTTATTTCAAATGGAAGCTAACTAAATATTAAATATAAACAACACAATCTTTTTGACACAGATAATGAAAAATGTGTAAATTGTTATTCTTAGAAGAGAATTTTCATTTCTAATTTTAATAAATTTTATCCGAACCAAAATTCGAATTTCCAAGGACTTTTATTAATCTGGTTTTATCGATACTTACAGTACGAATACATTGTTCCAAAAGTTTGATTTAAACTGTACAAATGGTACCAATTGTGGAATATTACGTAATTCTTTTGACTTCTGAAGAATTAAAATACGCAATTCTTATATCGTTATTATAATACTTGACATTTAATATCGTCCCTCTTCTTTAAATCTCATAACAGACTAAAACACAATTCCATACACATTATAAGAGAAATACAGAAGAGAGTATCGTATCCATTTTTCTGTGCAGACATGCTTGATTAAATCATTATTCGAATCGTGGTTGGAAACTTTATAATAAAGTCATAATACTTGCAAATTTTGAAATAGGTATTATGCCAGGAAATATATTATACAAAAGAGTATTTTCTACTTTTCATTTCGCAATATACTTTGCGAACGTTGAAATTCTAAAATAGTATAAATACATGAAAATGTTATGACCGGAGAGTACAGTTACACGAGCTGAAATATCGATCTGATAATGCGTACCTAAGCATTGTTCAAATATTAGTACATACTCTATTTTCGACCAGTAATAAGTAGGAACGTTTCCATTCCTGTTTAAAATACAGCGATACTTTTGTAAACAAATATCCGCGTTAACATGGGGAGTGAATATTGTATTATGGATTTTCAGACGTAGTTGAACACTATTCCGATGTTTGTCGACGATAAACACTTAATATCGATACAGTTATAAAAATGAATATTTAGCGATTTAACAGCGATCTGTTAACAGTTTCTATTTGCCGTTTGAAATTGTAACGGGCTGCAGACAAAGGGTAATCAATATTGAATCACAATTAATTAAATACGGATGTTACAACACGTTTATTGTAATATCGTCGCATTCGGTAAATTTGACTATTTCTAGAGAAAATGATCTAGTATTAAAATCAATCGATATGAAGAGGAGTGATTATTTTGATTCTTTTCGAGCTCCTTTAGTACTGGCTGGTGTGAAATAAACAAATGTAGTAGTAGATCTTTAGACTTTTTATTTTTATAGACATCATAGAAAATTAAAAAAAAATAGCATTTTTCGTAACGCCCAGCTGAAATAAATCTTTCGACAAGCTTTATAAGATATACCTATTTCAAAGTATACGTACTAAGTATTCGTCTACTTGACTTTGGATGGTTCACGTTACATACTTTTTCAGTTTAACGCGTTCAAAAGCTGGTTTATTTCTTCGCGAATCAGAGTAGTTGCACACCTGAATACGTAATATCTACGAAATCAGGTGTTTTAGTCTGTTATAAGATTTACAGAAAATGTTCGAAATTACAGATCACGTATTACAATAACTTACGGTACGAGAGTTTATACACAAATAATTGCACAAAGTATGCAAACACATAAATATGTTATTTGCTGTTACAAATGATTTTCCATTTGACAATTTTCACATTACGTACTAAACAAAGCTAATGTATTCGTATAAATTAAAATTTCATTTTAAACTTACTCTATTAGGTATATAACCAGATATTTCATTCGCAGTATGCGGGTATTCCTACGCATTTCAGCATATTGAAATAGCGTATAATACGAAAGCAATATGGCATTATACTGTTAATAACGCGAAACCACTGTGTTATAATAATCCGTCAAAACGTGAAGCTTTCCACTGTCGGTTGTATCATTCTATTCCCAATGATTGACGAGTCTATTAAGCTGGCATAGTGAATGCCTCCATGAAAATCAACGAGTTCTGTTTTGTAACGATTGTAATAACGAAATATCAGGCTGCGGTAAATGTCATCCTTTCGGCCGTAATGGATAGCGGTAACATTGAAATCTTTGATACGTTTAATACATATTGTATCGTGTAAACTACAAAAGAGGAACCAAACGATTTTATCTATAAATTTACCGTTTATCGTTTACAATGCGACTTAATCGGTTATCGTTGATATACCTGCACAATTGTAGATACAGGTATAATTTATTCCACTTTTATTTACCATCCTTTTACTGTTTCTGTTTTTCATGCAAACAAGTGTAAAGTAGCGTGAACACATATAGAAAACGTCACGCAATCGAGATGGGTTTCATCTTGAATTGTCGTAACAGATAGAATAATAATTGTACAGGGAATACTTAAGTGGTATGGTAACCTTTGTTTCTCTATGACTTCAATTATTACATCAAAGAAGTATTAGGATACAGAGATTAGATAGATTTGTAACGATTAATCTTCATATCATCGATGAACAGGTGAACTGTTTTATAAATATTACGAGGAGAGGATAATTTGCATTCGTGCAAAGCGTTTAAATTATTTTATGGATCATAAGGAAAACGATAAGTAAATGAATTGCTATTAATCTGTAGTAAATACAGATCAAAATTAAAAAAAAGGTATACTTTTATTTAAGACATAAAACGATTAGTTTACAAACCTTCAATAGAAATGAGGAAAAGGGTGTCTTCATGAAGATACTTCGAACATAACAAACATCTCGTGTTGCACCGTTATTAATACAAAATAATTGTGCTCATCACCGGTAATTGAGATAGACAGTAATTTTGAAATCCCTATTAGCTGCCCGCAGAAATCACGTGATGCACAATTGGATGGTTAATGATAGTAAACCGATCAGAATTTTATTTTAATGTGCTTACAGTTCGTTAAAGTTAAATGATAGGCAAATAGAATTACTGTAATTTAAGTATCACGGTATCAATGGAAAATGAATCTAAATAGCGACAAATATCGAAGTATGTAATAGGCATTTTCAAAATGATCGATCGTTGAAATCGTGTCGAGGCAAAAAACTTCATGCAAAACGATAAACGCAATGTTTTGACCATTCTCGAAGGCGTTAATTCCCTTAAATCGTTTTCTACTGTTTGCGGTCACGAAGGTGCGAGCATCTCGAATTACAACTGGAAAGGATGGGTCTTGAATTCTGTCGGGGTTGATTCTTTTTGTAGCTAACAAGGGCAATGACTTCTCTTAACCAGAATATAACGTTTCGAAAGTCTAGATTCGGTCCTCTTCGCGACTAGATACGTTAAGCTGAAGATTCGTGGAATAAAACGAACACTAACGATAAGAAACTTTTTCATAAGATGTCTCGAAAAAGTTTAAAGTTTTCCAAATTTCGCAAGGAAGCTCCTCCTTACTACAGAAAAAAACTATGCGAATCGGCTTCTTACCGATACCGAATTCATCTGTCATGATTAGACCGCGGATCTAAAATGCGGAAAATAAAATCTTTGTAAACGTACCTACAAAAACTGAACCTACACAGGAATTTATTTTACTCTGCAATTATTATAATATGAACTTTACTTTCAATATTTTTTATATTATTGGCTACTGTGTCCATTCTATATTTTCTAGCACGTTCAGATTTTCTATAAATGCATAAAAATCCGCAGTCTAGTGATTCATTTGTTTCATGCGCTTTCATTTTGGCCCCCGAAACCCTTGTAAGCTCTTAAAAGAGTTTTAGGGAAAAATAGTGTACAGGGTTAAAAAAACCGCGCTGGAATGACCAGGCCAGCAACGATCCGAGTTTGGTTTACCAACGATTGCATCCATCCGCTACACTAACCTCCCCAAGACTAATCTGTGACATCCTGTTGCTCAGGTGACCGACTCGAAGGATCTTCAAGTGCCGTTCAGCACCGCAGCATCTCTCGGCTACGGCCTCCATCACATGCTCCACTTACCGCCACAATTCTTGCACCCTCTGGATCACCGTTTACCATTTGGAGGGTTCAGGCCCCTCGGGCCATCGGCGTTCGCTCCACCGAGCAAGTGCCTAAAAGTAGAAACCGGAAACGGGCCGGTGACCAGCTCCGGATTGCCGAGCATTGGCTCCCTCTCGAGTATATCGAACATGTTCTCGCCGTCGTCGCTGTCCTCCGCCGGTGGCAGCGCCGTGGTTTCCGTTTCTGGAGCGGGCTCCGGTATCGGGGGCGTCGGAGGAGGTGCGAGCACTGCGACAGGCCAAGAAATCGCGCCACAGAGTCCAGCTGGCTCCACGAGCAGATCGCCAACCGGCCCCGGAACCGGATCGATCACCAATCGCGGCACCACCCCCGAAGAAGAAGATCGCGACGCCAACGCTACGCCTGGCTCCGAGAACACCGAGCGCTCCACGCCCGAAGAAGGAAGACCATATCGACGTGAGTTTCACATTTATCGCTTCTTGTTCCTTTAATCCTCGGTTTAACGATCTATCTTGCCGCGAAATGTCGACAGTCTGTATTCGATATCGAGGTACATATGAGGTCTCTTGTTTACAAGGGTTGTTTACAGTTGTGATATCGGTTCTGGTTCTTAACACTTTATCTACCGGGCTATTTAGAAACAGTCTTTAATTCAATAAAGAATTTTCTACAGTATCATATGCCAATCTAGGTTGACAGTAATTCCTCCATATCGTAACTAGTACATTGAAAGCCAAGTCTGTTTCCAAAAACTGAACATTGTAAGTAGACAACCATCAACACAGTAAACAAATTCGAAAAGTACTGAAGTACTGAAATTAAAAAGCCTATAAATAGGCTCCCGGTAAATAAAGTGTTAAAATAGTTGCGAGAACCGATATGACGTTATAACAGTTGTAGATGAACAAGGTTCTATCCTATATCGGGTTTCAAACTGTTTCTTTGTGTATAGTTTCTGTAATTCGCAAAAAATCGATTGTTTCGAATATTTGGATTACTTGGGTACTAATATTAAATCTGTTGCATTATTGCACTGTTGATCTAATATCGATAACCAATTAATACAAAGATTTGTATGATCGATATATTCTTAGAAGCATAGCCTCGAAATTTTTAAAGCCATAACTTCTGCAATATATTTTCGCATCTCGTGACTGTTTCAATCAGAACCCTTATATAATAATTTGAAACAGTTACGTTTTGAATCTTTTCAACCTCTTTGATTGTATCTGACACTTTAAAACAGGAACGAGTAAATACTAATTAAGAATAGTATTTTTTAGAAAGGTAGGACTACATGTCTATATGAATATTAAAACGTAGTATACAGCGGATGTAGAAAGTATTCATACACCGATGATTTTTCAAAAAAACTATGTGAAATTGGAATTTATTAACTTCCTTTTTATAAACAATGATATTTTATATATTCTTGGAAATCTCTAGAATGGATACAGTACAAAAAAAAAACAGTTATTTATGCGAAATTAACAAGAAAAAACACAAATCGGTAGAAATATAGAAGCAATAAGTATTCGTACAACTGTTTAATTTTTAAAACTTCACACAAAAAAAAACGAAATTTACATTAATGTATAAATAATTAATACTTCGTGGGATTTCCTTTTGATTTTGTAATTACTGCTACTCTTTTAGGCATTAAATTACCTAAATGTTGATGTTATTCGGAGTGGGGTCTTCTTCCATTTCTCTGTTAGAGCCATTTTTAAAATTACTTTACTGGAAATTCCATGTTTTCTAATTCGTACAAAGCAATAAACTGATGTGTTTATGTTACAAACTCTATTGTAAATGGTTCGTCGTAGGAATCGTACAAATACTTTGTTGTTATATAAATTGTTGTTTGGATATTCTATATCTATTCTGGAGATTTCTAAGAATATGTAGTATATCATTGATTATAAAAAAAGAATTTAAGAAACCACAATTTCACAGAAAAGTTTTTTGGGAAATTGATCGGTGTACGAATACATTCTACACCCACTGTATGTATATGTATATAAAGTTAAATCAGATAGTACACGTCAAATGGAAGAAAAAGTTCTGATAAACATGAGTTGGAAACGAATATTTTCGGTATTATTAAACTGACGGATTACATACTTTACTATTTATTCCGTTGACATTAACAGAAGTAAACGCTACCATAAACTTCCACTTATTCCATTTGTTTTCATCGTAATAATGACGGTCACGATTCCACTTCAAACATTTACGATTGATCGTAACATAATGTTATCGAGAAATCTGTTTTTTTTTATGAGTTTAACTTCGAAATCGATTTCTATAAGTGCGACGAATATGGCTAGTAAGCCAACCAGAGGTCCCAGATTAGGTGTGAGAATGCCATTGGTCCCGCATGATGCTGAATCTCGGAAAATGTCCCGCATGGCGATGAATCCTGAAAAATGTCCCGCATTCGTACAAACTGTTCTACTCGAATTTTCATCGAATCGCTTAAGCTCCCGTAAATTAACGACTCGTTGATGACCGTCATGTACTATTTCAAGGTGTAACGAGAATATCGAAATGGTTCGATACGTCCATGAAATGTAAATATCTTGAAGACTACATAATTGGAATGGAACATTACCGAAGGTCATTGAATTTTTATTTTTATCGTTCCTTTATGGTGTTCTTTTTATAACACATCACAATACAACATAACTCAACATACTACAACACTACGTAACAACGTAAGGTACGTACCAATAGTTAAACGTTCCACTTAGAAAAACCTTGACGACGATGAAACGTTAAGAAAAAATGACCTCGATCAAAATATCGTTGCACATATTTGTTCTTTCGAACATCCATAAGTAACGCAGGTATTTGGATAGTCCACTTTGTATACAAAAGACCAGCTGAAACATATATAGGAATTTGCAGCGGAGGAACCGCGGAGATTTGTGTGCTTAATCTACCTAAGTCGTTTATTTGAATTCTCAGGGTCGTAGCAGCTGTGCTGTGTCTGAAGGCTAGCGCAGGGTTCGTTTCCATACGTTTGCTTATTTTTCGGTACAGTCTTAATTACCGAAAGATAGAGCCATTCATTTTTCTCGGCTACGATTTCGCGGCGACCGTTTTTTTCGGCCCTCTTGCTCGAGCTTAATGTTCCTCGAGCATTTTTCATTCTCGTCCCTTCTCTCTTTCACCCGTAAAGAATCGTCCTTTCGTCGACTAGCAGCTCGCTTTGCGAATTCCCTCTGTTAAAATCGAAAAAAGATCACGCGGTGGTTGAGATTCGTGTACCTTTCTCTCTCTTTCTCTCTTTTTCTCTTTCCGTCGTTGCGCCGTGGCTAATTTTCATTTGGTCGCAAGACGAGAAACAAAAAAAAGAACAGCTGGAAAAAGGTCGAAGGTGTGCAACCTTGGCGTCAAACTGCCTTTCAGTTTTATTTTTCGAATGCTCAACGCCGGGATAACGATGTCCTTTGACTCTGACAAACACTACGCAGCCGTGTCGTTAATTAGTCGATACTCACTTTGTGGCGGTCGTGTGCGTTCCAGAGGGATCTCGCGTTGCGTAAAATTGCGTACGGGTAGTCTCGAATCGGAAATTCGCCTGGATCTTTGTTATGTTAACTTTCTTTACCTTCGTGTTTTCTAGTTTGTCTGTGACTTATCAGTTTCTGTATGTTTATACTGATGCATATTTTGGAAGAAATAACCGAATAGATAATAAATAATAAATTAGTACTTTTTATTTTAGTTATTTTCTATAAATTATGTTATATACGTTTTGTTAGATTTATCTTGTACAATCCGGTACTTACTAAACTAAATTAAACTTACTTATTTCCAGTATTTACTCAATTTTCCTCAGGGGCTGTAGCTATGCTTGATTAGTATTTGCAGCTACAGTACGGGTCTAGCAAGCTCGAGGTATCCGAGCTAAAGGGGAAGGGTGTTCGTCTTAATATCAATGGTGTCATAGATTAAAGCTTAAATAGAGTTCTCGCATTCTTATAATCGACATAGAAACAAACATCCACGGTACAGTAATTATAGAAGTTGACCTACGAATTTTTGTTCGCAACTTATCTATTTCAACTGCTAGTTCCATATTAATACATTCGATACATTCTTTTACTCCGTATTAATCTCTTATAACTTACATGACAAAAACTCCATTAAAGCGTAACTATTAGGGGGACCGAAAAGTAATTTCTCAATCGTTTTACGAGGATCCGAATACTCCATCGCCTTCAGGATATCATCATCTACATTTTGATTAATTTTCGGTCACCCTAATATTTCAATTTCTATGTTCGCACGGAGTTGCCAGTTGTCTACGACTGAATTCAACGTGCAAAATTACATAAAACAGATGCACAAATTCGATAGGACCTCGACTACTTGCTTAATTCGAAATATAAAATGATTTATAAATGAAACGTCGGAATCGCGGAATTCGTAATTATGCGACGGCATAGTATCGAAATGAGACTACTGCGCGCAGTGTATAAGATTTATGTCATGGAAATTAATTGCGCGATCGGCGTATAGAGTTGAAGAATTTGTAGGGAAAATCGTGAAATAATCAGCGAATAATTTGATTTAGTATACGGCTGCGAAACGTTTCTGCGTATTTTAAACTCAGCGACCCGCCAACGCTTTTTGGTTGGTGCGTCGGGAATGGGGGTTGCGATGTATCAATTCAATACCTACGCATGAAATATGTTCATTATCACGATTGACAGGGATTACTGGTAAATAATCATTTGCTGCTTGATTCGGGAAATTACACTATCGTTGTTTGATTTAGACAGCGCTGAAAAAATTTATCATGGATATTTGCATTGTACGAAATAGCGTCCAGCTGTTTGTACGTACGTAAACTAATTGGATAGAGTGACTACTCGATTCGTACTTATTTTAAATTATGCGAAGATTGTGTGAAATTTGTATTCAAATATTTTGAATCAATTTTTCATGCATGCCTTCGATTTGTTAACGTTAATGCTGTCGTGTTATTGTTCGAATCAGATATTGACTTGATATTGACAGATTTATATCTTCAGAAAGAAATTGTTTAAATCACCATCGAATAGTTGCATCGCTAAAACAGCTCTCTTTGAAAGCTAAATTAACGTTTCTGCTCGTTTTGGTAGAGTTGTTTCAGTTCAAATTATACAAAAATAGTGGTCGTAATGAAAAAAAGCAATAAAAAAAGAAACAAATCAATGTGAAAATACAATTAAAATTCAACTAGTCGAATATCGAATAAACATCGAATATCGACAATTTTATGTGGTACGAACTACATGTACTATATCCAATCAGCTGATCACGTGCTCACGCATACACGCACGCCCACGCGCATAGACATAAACAAATTTTAACTGCTCAAAGTCAACAATTACGAGCATAAATAGCTACATGTTATTAAGAATTATTTGCGACAGGCTTCTACCAGTTGAAAAACTGCAAAA